GGGGCTTCCTTGGTGGCTCAGTGGTCAAGAATTTGCCTGCCAATGCAAGGGTCTAAGGTTCGATCCCCGATCTGGAAGGATCCCACATACTACAGAGAAACTAAGCCCCTGTTCCACAACTATTGAGGCTGTGCTGCAGAGCCCGGGAGCTGCAACTACTGAGCCCACATGTCCCGACTACTGAAGCCCGAGTGCCCGAGAGCCCACGCTCTGCAATAGGAGAAGCCACCTCAGTGAGAAGCCCACACAGAGCAACTAGAGAGTATTCCTCTCTCTCTGCAACTAGAGAAAAGTCAGCAGTGAAGACCCAGCACAGGCGAAAATAAGTAAATAAATATTTTAAAAATAATGAGAGACTAGGGAATAAAATGACATTTTCCCATGGATGAGAAAGCCATACTTAGGATGGTTCTTTTGTGCTTCTTGAAATTTAAGCTGTTGAGCATTTGCTACAAAAGACCGCTGTTCCCTGTCTTCTTTTCCAGCTGACTTTGGAATTTTCTATGTGACAAATTCATGTCTTTAACTCGCCATGGTTTCTCACATGGAGTCTGTTAGTCATGAAAGCTCAGCACCCAGAGTAGGTGGCATTTGAGGCTGAAAGGAAAGATGAAACTAGGGTAGGGATCTAGCTCAACCTGTTTCCTAGAGGGAGAGTCTGTGTTTGTCACCACAGATGCTATGGTCATTTCCCTGCAACTTGGAGAATTGGTGCATCAGAGAACAAGGTTTTCTAGCTTGCTCTCATCTCCTGAATTCTCTCTTTGCTCTCACTGGTCTGTGGGTTCTTGATGAGAACTGTTGCTGGGTGTGGGGAGTCCCGAGCTGTGGGACAGGGCATGGAACAGAGAGGATGCTTGTATGGCAGTCTAATGCCATGTGGATTCTGCATGACACAGCAGTAGAATTTTGTATTCTTTCCTATGAGGATCTGTACCAACAATATATTTCATTATTTAGATCATTATTTGACCTTAGGCTTCAATGCCTTGAGGTGATTCCTTTGACTCTAGCTTTAATGAAGGGAAAAAAAAATCATTAGGAAAGCAGATTGCGCCTTCCAATTCCTAATTAACTTGCAGTCTAATTTGTTTTCTGCTATCTACTTATGTTTTGCTTTAGACTTTAGCCAAATGTTATTTCAAGGTTTTCATAAAAACAAAACAAAACACAACAACTAGATTTTAAAATTACCATCATAGGAGTTTTTTCATCTATTACAATTGACTGGTCTTCTTGGTGTTCATTTCATAAAATACAAAGTTTGTATCATTAGGAATCAAACATGAGAGCATTTGCAGGAGTATTCAGCAATCTCAAAGCATTTTGAAGCAGATCTTCTTTGATGTCTCCATGTAGAACTTCACTTAGCATCCTTTTTTGGAATCAACAAAACCAGAGTAACAAAGAACAATCAACTGGTACCCAAGCATAAGCAATTCTGATTCCTAACCTTTCGGGACCCAGGTTTAATTTACCATGCGTTTTTTTTACCCATTTTAGTAGTATATTAGAGGAAAGGCTCTAGACCGGTTTGCTTAGTCCTTCCTTTCTTTCCGGTTGATTCAGGTGGGTGCAGTGCAGAATCTTTTGGTGTTGCCCAGGGGCGAAGAGCTAAACTACGTCTAAAACCACAGTTGAGTTTGTAGTCTGTATCATGGTTGTGCATATCAAAGACATAGTTTGGAGGAGAGAAAGATGTGCAGTAAAAGAAGGCATAAAGGAAGATAAAAGGAATGAAAAAATGAGAGAGGAAAAAGGGAGAGGAGCAAATTGAGACTTGCCTGTGGAACACCCTCCAAACCCCTCCTCTCCTGGCCCCATGCTATTTGTACATATAAAACCCGAGGTTACTGTCATCCAATCCAGTGACCTGGGTACCCAGAGATTTTCCAAGTTTCAAATGGTGGAACTGATTTTTTGATCAAATGAAATTATATGTAGATGCCTAAGATATAAAGACAAAGTTGTGTTTTATTAATATAAATTTGCTTCATCATTTAACATTTATAACATTTGCTTAGTATAAAATTAATGGGTGAGAACAAGAGTATTTTAAATAGACATAAAAATTGAAATTTGAGAATATGAATGGTACTTCTTTTCATCAACCACTATATACAATTTCTGTGTTTTCTTTTAAATGAACAGTAACAGAAAACTCTGGTTTCATATTAAAGAGAAATAGTGTCTAATTTTTAAAACTTCTCAAACTGTGGAAACAGAATTTTAAGTAGATTTACTATCTTGAAGGAAGAGAAATTGAAAATTGGATGTCTGAAGACTGATCACTAACAATATGTTGCAAACATAGATGTCATCAGTACACTAGCCAAGTTGGACCAAGGACTGTCAAATTTGCATCTTTACAAAGGGTGCCAGCATCCTCTGTAAGACGCGAGTGTCCTAGGTGTACATGCTACCAGGTAACAGTGTGATTCAAGATCCAGACCATCTCCTGCACAATTATGGGAAATTATATATTATATTATTATAAGATACACACACACGCACGCGCACACTTGCACACACGTGCATATATTGCTGAGCCAAAAGTGATCATCACTTTTAAGGTTTTTATCAAGAAAATTCAGACATGAAGAGACATAAGGGAAAGACATTTTAGGTAGAGAAAGCAAAAGCAAGAATAGAAAGAAAAACAAATGGAAGTGAGAAGATCTGTCTGGGCGCAGTGTTTGGAGCAATATCTTTGGAAAGAGAGAAAAATACTTTGAAAATCAAAGGTATCAGGACTTTATTCTGAGAATTAGTGGGGAATAGTCTAAAGAAAGATATAAATTTGTTACAAGAAACCATCAGGTAGGTCACCTGATAAAGACACTACAACAAAATAGAGTGATCAAAATTTCAGGAAATACAAGTTTACATCCTATTAAACGTCCTATTACATCTTCTGGGCATTGTGTGACATTTTGTAGAACCTTACATACTCCAGTTATGGCATTTTGCTGTCTTATACTTGCATACCTAACATTTAAAAAAATAATAGTAAGGCCTTTTTGAATGAATGGCCCATCTACAATATGAAACATGCATGGAAATGGCAGGAGACACTGAATCCTAAGATTGGCACCTATCAACTTAACCCAGCAGCTTGTCAGCATGTTATAGGGCAGTGTGTTCATATGTTACAGACAGATTTTGCTTTTAATTACAGTTATGAATGTAATTGTGGCTCAGTGGTAAAGAACCCATCTGCCAAAGGAGGAGACACGGGTCAATCCCTGGGTGGGGAAGATTCCCCTGGAGAAGGAGATGGCAACCCACTCCAGTACCCTTGCCTGGAGAATCCCATGGACAGAGGAGACTGATGGGCTACAGTCCCAGGGGTTGCAAAGAGCCGGACACGACTGAGTGACTGAGCACATACATACAAGCGTCTCCTTGGAACTCTAGTGTCAAAATCTCTAGCTTGCATGGCTGGTACCCCTCACCAAATCACTTGGGTATTAAGGAATTATTCTGGTAATAGGATGTAAACTTGTATTTCCTGAAATTTTGATCACTCAGTTTTGTTGCAGTGTCCTCATCAGGTGACCTACCTGATGGTTTCTTGTAACAAACTTATATCTTTCTTTAGAATATTCCCCACTAATTCTCAGAACAAAGTCCTGATACCTTACTTTGATTTTCAAAGTATCTCTCTTTCCAAAGTTATTGCTCCAAACACTGTACCCAGACAGATCTTGTCACTTCCATTTATTTCTGTTTCTTCTCTTGCTTTTGCTTTCTCTTCATCTAAAATGTCTTTCTCTTATACCTCTTCGTGTCTGAATTTTCTTGATAAAAACCTTAAAAATGATGATCACTTTTGGCTCAGCAGTATATATATATATGTGTGTGTGTGTGTATACCTGATAATAATATAATATATAATGAATATATACACAATATAGACTTACAACAGTATATAAATCACACTGAAGATATTTAACGACATAGAAAGATTTTTCCCCATTTTATTGAGGAAATATAAATTGAAAAATATTATGATTATCTTTTTTTCCTTAAGAGACAGGTTTATTTTGCTTGTTGGTATTTTATGATTGGGCAGTAGCTCCATTTTATTTTTATAATAAGAAATGAGTTAATAAAACTTATCTCTCAAGCGTAGGACAGCTTATCCCATCCTTAAGTCAAATTTTGGAAGATCTTAAATCCAAACTCTTCTGAATTGTTTTCACAATTACTCATATCTCCAGATACTTTAAAGAAGGTTTAACCATATGAGTGACACTAAGGGTGAAGGTAATACTGACGCCCAACACCGCATCTTTCTGATGTCCCTTTCTGTTTATCCACTGAGCTTTGTTTTGGAACTCATCAGACTACCCATCTGCTCATGTTTGCAATGATACCCCTTATCTTTGCACGTTGGGTCACACCAGTGATATGCAATAATGAAATGGGAACTGAGATTTACTATTTCCTAAAGACCTGGATGACATTTTTCAGCTATTCTCCTCAACAGACAAAGGATATCGAGTTCTGCTGTGTCATAGTTATGAATAACACATGCACAAAGAAATTTGACTGTTGTTTCTAGTAAAGGTATTATTACATAAAGGGAATAGCTTTTGGTCCCCTCTGTTGCCTTGGAATCCTGAGATCTTGCCTTGTGTATGTTTGTGCATCCACATATGCTTCTGCTGAAACAAAGAGGATATATTTGGTAGTCATTGGTAATGTTTTTAAAAGTAGATCAGGCAGTTTTCCTTGAAACTTCTTTCCTAACTTAGCATGAAGTAGAGTTAAATAGTAGAAATGAAGGCATTTGTTTGGAGGTTTCAAAATAAGAAGGGGAATTGTTTGGTTACACAGAGGACTGCAAGAGGGCTGAGGAACGGAATGAAGAAAATTACCAAGCATGCATGTTGTTTTTAAGCGATACTTGAGACTGATATGTGAAACAGCTGTGTTGTTGGGGTTTTTTTTCTTGTGCCAACTTTCCTTATTTGATTGATTTTTCTCTCTGACAGCCCACTGTGCTGATAAATGTGTCCATGGTCGCTGCGTTGCTCCAAACACCTGTCAGTGTGAGCCTGGCTGGGGTGGGACCAACTGCTCCAGTGGTGAGTGTGCACCTGCTCTTGTCTGTCTCCGGATGTTTTTGCTCTATGAGCCCCTTGTCTCCATGGGTTTCCCTCTGTAGCCCAATGCAGAATGTGGTGTGGATCCCCAGCCCAGCTCACAAATAGTGTTTCTTTGAAATCTCTACATGTATTATACATAGAACCGTTATGAATAGAGTATAAAGAAAGGCGCTTGGAAAGCAGGAGATCTCAGTAATCTGATTCTGATACTTCTATGAATATGAATATATATTCCAGAGTAGGATCCAGAATTCAGATTCCTTCATTCAGTAAGGCAGTTGTGGTAACACAGCTATTGTATGCTGACATCTGTTTTTACTTGTTCATATATCTAATATATTTCCTTGGTGATGAAAATTTACCACTTGTTGGTTTTAAAGCAGAAGCCAAGTTGATATTTTCAATGCTTAACTTGTTTATTTATGTCTGAATTCTGAGTTACAAATAATAAGTACTTTCTCAAATAACTGGAGTGAACTGGTAGTAAATGAAAATTCATGACCATTTAGGTACTCATTCATAATATATAATTTGTCTCCATTGTATTAGAATTATAATTCTAAGATGATGGTGTTTTGGATGATAAACAAATTGCACTTAAAATCCTGTATTCATGATTATGAGGATTAAATGATGGACTGTCATGTAATACAGTTGCTTTTCTAAATTTCACAGTTAAAACTTAAGTTTTCTGGCTAACTCCTTGCTGCGCGTGTAATTGTGTACTCTTCCTGTTCCTTTGTACTTCATTTTGCCTTGAAAAATGTGAGAAAGAGCTCAAGTGCAACTAAATTGTAATGCATGAAATGTTAACATTTAGAGAAAGGGAATAATAGTTTTCAAATTACCAAGCTCTCATGACAACACAGATTTGTCCTCATTGCTACCAAAGAATTTTCTGAAACCAGTCAAAAAAGAACGTCAGGCTGTGTATGATAGGTAAGCTGGTTTTAGGAATTTTTACTTGCTTCCTTTTGGAATTGGGGAGGTTATTCTTTACCTAGTTAGAGCTGCTTTGTTTTAGACTTGTGATTTCTTGGCTGTCTCTAAAACAGCATCGATCTCCAGGGGAGGTCCTTGTCCTGTCTGTGCCCAGAACATTCCATGTGAAAGAGACTTTTTATTGTGTCTTTGGGAGCATGTATGCACCTCTCTCTGTCCCTGACAGGATTCCCATTCCAATGGGTAACTGTCTTGAAGGGTTTTGTTTGACTTCTGCCAGAGATCAGGAGGAGAGTGGGCATTTTGTTCACACTGTTGAGGCAGAGTGTTTAGGATGTGGGATCTGGCTCATGTCCATTTTTTTGGCCAACTGACCTCAAATGCAATGCTGCTTTCACTGACTTTTCCAGCTTAAAGATCAGTTGTGCCTACACATTTAGAAGAAAAATAACATTATTATATAAACCATTGAGAAAGAGAAGAGTGGCTGTATTCTTCATCTGAGAAGTGAGATTTGTTATTACTAATTTCAGGGGGAATGTTGTGGAATAATTTTAGTCATAGTCATACTTTGTCCCCTAAGAGCTGCAGCTTACCTCGTGCTAAGAGATCAGACTGAAGTGTGTATAAACGAAAGGAAAGCCAACATGGGTTTCAGACTCTCTAGAACTGACTTAGGCCTTCTAGAAAATTAACTGTTGCTTTATTTTGGAATTGACCAACTTTTTGATGAAGCCTCTAGAATTCTTCTAGAGAAACACATGTTCTTTCAATTCTGGGTGAAGATATTGAGGTGGCTTTTAGTTTATTCTCTACAGCTCATGTTTTGGTATTATCATGAACAGAAGCATCAATAAACATGGACAGATATCTGAAGTCTTTAAAGATGGTCTGAGAAAACATTTCTGACACCTTTTTTAAGCACCTAAATTCTGTTCTGAGTCAGAGCACTGCATTTTGTTACCTTGGTTTTGTCTTTAGTTATTACCCTAAAATGCCTCATTATGAGGTGTGTGATTTAATACTCTCAGCCACATAATTCTTGAAGCAAATGCATACTCTAGTAACCTATTAAGAAGCAGAGTTAAAATGACCTAGGTCCCAAGGATTTTTATCTCTCTGTCCCCTCCTCTCTCGTTATCATTATGCATATATTTGATACTATATGTTAGATTGAAAAAGTGATTTCTTTTTTAATTACATCAATTCCTTGTATTAGTCAGGCTTCAATCAGGAGACAGAAATTGCAATAATTTTTTTGACCAAACCTTTCATTTTGGAACAATTTTAGTAAAGTTACAAGATAGTAGAGAGTTTCCATACACCCACACCTAGTTTTCCCTTAAGTTAGCATTAGCTTGGCAAAACTAATTGCCCAAAGAAATTGACCTGAATACACTACTAGTTAGTTCACTACTAGTATATTGCTGTTAAACTCTAGACTCTGTTTGAATTTCATTATTATTACTTTTTTATGAAAGTCCTCTTCCTTTTCCAAGATCCAATCCTGGTCACTACACTGCATTGTCATGTCTCCCCAATCCCCTCTGGTCTGTGACAATTACTCAGCCTTCGTTTTTCATAACTTTGACACCAGCTAGCCAGCTATCCTGCGGAATGTCTCTCAGTTTGTGTTTTCCTCATGACTAGACTAGGGGTACAAGTTTTTAAAAGAACACCACGAAGTAGAAGTGCCCACCTCATGACATTCTATCAGGGGTATGATGAAATTCACATGACACCACCGGTGATGTCATCCCTCAGTTAGCCTTCATCATTGAGCGGTGTGTAGTGTTTGCCAGATTTCTCCACATAAAGTTATGATTTTTCTCTTTCCCATTTCTATTCTCCAGAAATAAGACACTAAGTCTAGTCTACCCTCAAGGGTGAAAGGTAGGGATTAAGCTCCATGGTTTTGGGAGGGGAGATTATCTATATATGTTATTTGGAATTCATCTGTAAAGGAGATTTATTTATTCTCTCTCATTTAGTCAGTCATTTTTATCAGTGTGGGCTTATATATGTTTATATGAGAAATCCATATATTATTTTGTTGCTTTAATTGTTCTAGATTTGGCAATTGGGAATTGTTTTAGGTGGCTTCTGTGTCCTTTTGACCTGCCCTGGCCTTTTTGTTTGGCTCTTATATTGTATTCTGTCTTTTGAGCACTTCCTTACTTTCTGCTACTGTAGGATTCTCCAGTCTCACTTTGTGTTTTTCCTTCTTCAGTCCTAGAATGAGCCATTAAAGAATCGTATTTAGAAACCAATTCTGGATACTGGAGGTGCTCATTGCTCCTGGAAAATATTGTAACTTGAGCAGGGAAGGTTTATTAAAAAGAATTATTAGCTGTAACAGGAAACTGTTGTGGGCATTGGCTAGTAGAAAGTAGATAACACTGAAAGGAATACAAGAATGGCAAATATAAGGAACGCCCATACTCCCAGGGCTGAGATAGAACACGCAAAGAGGAAGCCCCAGTAGGGGTATGGTATAGACCGTATGAGAACACAGCCACAGTTTACTGAATGGCAGAGAGGCTGCTGTGGTTTACTCCTCATGGGACCTTCTGGAAATCTGCTGTCTGGAACTTGCTAGAAATGTGTTCTAAAGGATGCTTGAGACAGCTGTTCGGGAGACATGTCTTATCAGAAGCACCCTGTTACGGGTAGCCCAAGCGAGGTGCCCGGGATGTTGCTAGCTAATAGGTGCTGCTCGTCACAGTGCACTGTAGGAGCTGAATGTTGACGAAGTTGCCCGTGTTGGAGGAGCAGGCACTTCAGCAGTCAGCTGAGCTGGCACGCTAGAAACACAATGGGAAACGCCTTCCTTGTGCAGCGTCTCTCAGCACCCTGGGAAAGTGCTTAACAGCCAGCCAGCTGGCAAGGAAGAGGATTTACATGGCCCGTGTCCATTTTGTAGATAAAAATGGAGGCTAGCTTTAGCACTGAGAGGCAATAAAGTGCATCCAGCCCACGCCTTTGGTTCCTTAGTTCTCCTGTACACCTCTCTATACACATTTGAATTCTTGCAGATAAACCAAACAACTCAGCATTTCCATCTAATAAAACGCAGCCTGCCATCTTACAACTTAGGATGTTCTTCGCTCTTTTCTCACAATAAAGAGTTGCAAGTACCAGCAGTCATAGTATCCTTTGCTGGCTATGTTCAATTTTCCTGAAGTTCAGATGAAGTTTCACTGAATGTTTTGTTGTTGCTGTTGTTTAGTTGCTATGCCTGACTCTTTTGAAACTCCATGGACTGTAGCCTGCCAGGCTCCAAGTCCATGGGATTTCCCAGGCAAGGATACTAGAATGGATTGCCATTTTCATCTCCAGGAGATCTTCCCAACCCAGGGATCAAACCACGTCTCCTACACTGGCAGGCAAGTTCTTTATTCCCGAGCCACCAAGGAAGCCAACTATTTTGTTACCTAGATAGTAAAGTTACCTTCCAAAAACTTTTATTTTATATAAGATAAAATGCAAAGAAAGAGAAGAAAAAATAGCATCTACAAATAAACCTGTAGATGTAGCAAGCAAAGAGAACTCTTTTCTATAATGACTCACAGGCTGTACTTGTGTGTATGGACTCTTTCTTCCCCATTTCAGATATCTCCCTTCTCAGTCCAGATCTCAGTTGCTTAAGGTTCTTTGCCTGGAGGTATGACTCAAACCTCCACTCCTGAATTCTCAGTTGTCCTGCCCTTTTTCTGGTCGTTCACCCTTTCCATTAACCTTTACTACTCGGGATGTGAGTTCCAAGAGGTGCCCCACAGAATCCCGTGGGTTCCAGACAGAGTTCAGCTTTCTCCCTCTATGTAGCATCCCAATTTCCCCTTGATGATCAGGATAAGTCATTCCAACCCAAAGAATAGCTCCTTTTATTTACAGTATGAGTTTAAAATGAATAAATTGATAACTGTCACACACAACTGTCTGTCGTGTATATTTTTTCCTTCTCCATATACATGGGAGATTAAGTCTGACAGTTACCTTCCCAAGCACAAGTTTACAAAGGCTGCCTTTGGAGATTT